AACATTAGGATTGCAAGGAAGCCAGAATTTTCAATTTGTTTTGAAATATATTCCTTGAGTATGGGGGAAAACACAGATAAATATATTTAAAAAAAAATAAATAAATTACAGTACACTGGGGAGTTTTGCAAAGATGCACCACCCTGCTCTCCTCAGCCCTCAGGTTTGGTTTGGTTAGAGATATATAAAAATAAAAACAACAACTATTTATTTTAAATATGTGGAAATCCAACTTCCAAATAATTGATACCATTATATCCAAGTAAAAAATAAAAATAGGAGGGAGGTTTAAATCTCCCCAGTCCCAATGCAGTCCAAATTCCGAGTCCCACCTCGACCCTGGATATTTGCTTCCAATCCCAGGCCCTTCCACGAAAGTGAAACAGTGAATTGCTTGGACCAAAAAGCAAAGGAGCAGCAATAACCCAAAGCATGTGAGTGAAGCCATGCAGGGAATTCCCCTGGCAGCCCCTGCTCCGGGCAGGAGCAGCAGGGTCAGTTGGGATGGGAACAAAGGGAATTCACTTCCATGGACACCAAAACTGGTGAGGTTTTTCCCTCCTCTGGAAATCAGTGTCTAATACAACTTAATGAAAAATGAGGATATTTGCTGGGTTCCCTCAGTCTCCAGTCTAGACACTCTCCAGTTCAGACTAATCCAGTTTATCACTGAGAACCCTTTCCAACTGTAACATTTAATCCTTCCCTTCCCTCTCCCGTTTCCAGCCCCGCACACACTCCCAATTCCTGGCAGCCTCTCCCCAGCACGTTATAAAAGCTTGGAGGCTTTGCTGTAAACATCTTCATTTCAGTAACCCCCTCTGAGGGTTCCTTCCTTCTGTGGACTTCCCAAACTCAGTGCAGGTCCCCTCCACCCAGACTTTAAATAATGAGCTTTACATTAAGTAGCAGAGAGGATCCTTCTGCACCACTCTAATGACCACCTCATTCTCCAACTGGCTTTTTAATTAGATAAACAAGTATCAAATCCAAATATATAAAAATATATATAAATATTATAGACCCATAAAAGTTCAAAGCCCCCTAATGATGAATTCTCGCATAATGTTGCACTGACAGGAAAACATCTTAATAACCAGGAAAATATTTACTTAATTTCTTTTTTATTTTTTTTTTTCCTCCTGGCTGCATTTTAATAATGGCAAAAATTCAACCATAATAAATAGAGACCTCGGTGTCAATACTGCTGCTTTACCTCGTGTAACAGAGAGGTTTTACTGGCTATAAAACTGTTACTGGTTGCACATGGAATCAGGGAATGGGTTGGGCTGGAAGGGACCATAAAGTCCATCCAGTTCCACCTCCTGCCACAGGCAGGGGCACCTTCAGTCACTATTCCAGGGTGCTCCAAACCCTGGCCTTGGACACTTCCAGGGAAATTATGATGCACAGGTTGGGAGCAGATCCACACTTAGGCAGTCTGAATAATTAATTTAAATTACCTGCTGGGAATTAGTAAACAGCACTACATTCTTTGTCTGGACACTCTGCCCACAGTAAGTTGGCCTCCAATTCAGCCAAAACTGAATATTCAAGCTAAAATAAATCAAGCCAATGTTAAGGCTGAGTAAAAAAGCATCCACACAAAAGCCTAATGTGATTTTCATTTAATAAGTGAATTAAAGTGACTGTTCTCAGAGCCTCATTGTCAGTATAACCCTCCTGCTTCCCCTGCACAAACATCCCTGCCAGGGGTACATTAATAAAGCCCCCAGACTATTAATGTTACTTCACTTTCTCTTATCATTTATTCTCATCTTTAAAAGTTTTCAGAAAAGGTTTAAAGTCTTTGTTCAGAACCCAGGGGTGGAGGTGGGGTTGTTGCTGTAGCAGCTGCTCCCATGGACCATACCGTGGGGTTTCAACACCCCTGCGGCAGGTGGAAGAATGAATAATAATAATAATATTATTATTATTATCATCATCATTATTATTTCCCAATCCAGTAGGAAACAGCACTGTAACCAAGAGCCACCTGAGAGAAGTGCTCCAGAAAAGGGACTTTATCCTCCTGAAAGTCACAAAAGCCACCACTTCTGGCATAAATTGGCATCGTATAAATAATCCTGATTTTGACTCAAAAGTGTGGAGGAAAACTGCGACAAAGTGGAAGAAAATTCCATGTGTGCTTCCCAAAGCCTCCAGCAGCACAAACAGGCAGGGAGGAGCAGTTCTTGCTCGCTTTTACTGCCCCACTCCACATCTCACCGATTAAAATGAAACATTCGAGCACAGAGGCCGTAACAACGTACAAAGGGACCTGGCCTTTAGGGATTCCATAGGAATGGGGATTGGGGTGCCTGGCTGCACCTTTTCAGCTGCAGCAGAAACCCTTCTCTCCCCTCCACTCCCCAAAAAAATCCCCATCCAATCCACTCCCCACCAGCTTCTCACAAAAACCGAAATTTGCTGTGCACGGGAAAAACCAGAGAGAGCACCTGAACCACCAGGGCCTGGCATTTTCTGCTTTATGGCTTTTTTTCTTTTTTCCCTTTAGTGATGAACATGATTTGCTGCACATCTGAGCCTGAGACTTTTACAGTCTCCCTAAAATCAGCTGCCTCAGAAGCTGTTATTACCAGAAGGGTCTGGAAGAGAGATATCCAGGGCAGCAGGGAAAAACAATCTATGGTGCCCCCTAAGCATGTTCAGAAGTGATAATTCAGGGTTGATATTTTGTTATTCACCCAGATTTTCAGAGCAGCCATTGATCTAATACCAAAAAAAGTTGACTGCACTTTAGTTTCTCTGAATACCTCAAAAAAAGACAAATTTTGGGGGAAAAAAAAAATCCAACTGTCATTTACTGACTTCAGGGAGTCTCTTTCCTCCTGTTGGATTGTTTCTGGAGATCCAGCAGTGCAGCAATATATTCCCAGGAGCTGTTCTACCAATACCCACCCATTCTGCACTCTTATTTTATCCCAATTAACTTGTCCCCCAGCAAGCTCCTTGTTCAGCATGAAAAAAATACACAGCAGGAACAAACAAACAAACAAAATGCATCTTACTGGCAACTGATTCCTTTAAAACAGAGGTTCAAGTGGCTGTGGCACTAGTTCAGTACACAAAAATCATATCCATCTTCCATCTCCACTGACCTTCGGTGCGTTCCAGCAGCAGTGATGGTTTTATTTTGGAATTTTTTAAACACAAACCTGCCAGTTTTCACAGACCTGAACCCCTGTGCAGCTCAGGGGCCCGTGGGCCGAGACACGATGAAATTCAGCTGTTTATCAGAGAATAGAACAGTGCAGTGGGACAGAGCAGAGCCCCCTGTTTGCCTTCCCAGCACAAGTCTGCAGTTGCTGTGCTGGAAATCAGGAGCAGGAGTGGTTTCTCCCTGCAGGCAGCCAAGGGCAGTATCAAAAGCCACCTCTTGTTTTGTTCTCTGTAATGAGCTCGGCTTGACTGCCCGTGTACCACTAAAGGATGGATGGAGATGTTGTTACAGCCCTGGCTTCAAACAAACCCCTGCCTTGATGTTAAATAAAGGACACAGAACGCTGTGCTAAGTGCTGCTCTCACCGGAGAGGAGTTTTCTCTGGTTTGCTCTCGCTGTGCCCAGGACAGGAGGATTCACCCCCCTTGCTGGGAGCCCTCCCCCCTGCAAACACCCCGAGCTGACAGCCAAAAACAGCACCCATTAAAAAAGGGACCGCCCTGCTCTGTCACACCCAAATTACTGTCACTGCAGTACCTGAGCAAAACCAAGAATCTGGTCCCAACAAAAATATTCCAGTCGTTTGCAAAAATATCCTTCCATTTTAAAAAGAAGTTAATTCGGTTTTGCATAAACGTTCTGCCGCCCTTAAATTTAATAAATCCTAAAAACTGTCTTAAGGAGGCATTTAAATAATATCCATAGACCATTCTAATTTAGGTAGCTGTATTTATTTCACCTACTTAGCACTGCTCGACTCCAGGTATTACCCCTCTTCCAGAGCACAGAGCTTTGGAATAGCTGATTCTCACTTCAGTGCACAGAGTTCCACAAAAAAAATTCCCCTAAAAGAAAACCCAGCCAGATGAGAATACAGCTTTTTCTGTCACAAACTGCCAGTGAAAACGCTGTGAACTGCACAGCTCTTTTATTAAAGAGTTCTGACACAACAGATGGGGTGTCAGAATAACACCAACTGGTCAGTAAAAGTGAAAACATAAATGACAGACATGTAGTTTTATTCCCTGAAATGTGGCTTCACCCTCCTGATCTTCCTGGCATTTGCTGCATTACAGAAATTGTTAGTTTAGGCAAGTGGAAGCTGTTGATTCCCCGACCATCTCCCTGACATCAGCCCAAACGTTATTTGTCTACAGATAACGAACATGTTAATTGTCAGGTCAGTAAGATTTATTAATCCACAGGGCTTGTATACCTCTCTGCTGCCCACACTCACTGTTTATTTATAAAGAGGAAGGAGAGACAGAGGTAATTTTGAGGAGTTTCTTACAAGTATTTTGAGATTAAAGTTGATTTCAGCCAGGAGAGAGGGCAGAATCAACGACCAAACAATGGCAGTGTCAGGTACTTTTAAAACCAGCAAAAGGACTTTGTTTCCATATTTCCAGAGGAGGATAATTTAACCCCTGTGCTGATCCTCTGTGGCCCTCAACATCTGGGTACCTGGCTGGCAGGACTGCAGCAGACAGGAATCCCTCAGTGCTACACGGGCAGGGACAGATTAAATGTCCTCACTTTCACCAGAGCACAGCAGCTGCTGAAGTTTGAAATCCCCAGAAAAGACAAATTACAGGAAGGGACAGACCAAACCTCCTCACTTTTACCAGGGTACAACAGTTTGAAATCCCCAGAAAAGACAAATTACCCCAAATGTGACACAGCCTGGCACTGAGCGGGTACCTGCAGGTGTCACGGTGGTACCTGCAATTCCTCCAGAGCCCTGGAACACATCCCTACAACATTTACTGTCTGCATCTTGTTCACAGCTGTCACATGAAGCAGGAAAATCTCTTACCACTGGGGTTGAAGGCCATGCAGCAAATGGGCTTCTCGTGGGCAGGGAAATGGGCCACGATGCCATCGCTGTCCGAGTCCTCGCTCACCAGCACCTGGAACGGGGACAGAGCCAGGGGTCAGCAAGGAAAGACACACCTGAGGGGAAATGCCAACTTCCTGACACAGGGACTGGTTTGTGAGATGTCCAGAGTGGTGCAATTCACATTAAAGCTGCAATATATAACAGTGTATAACACGTATAACAATATAACCCAATCCTCTGGCATTGTTTCACACAGACACGAGACTGCTCCAATAACCAGTAAGGATTATGCACCTTATACCTGATTTCCTGTTCCCTTGTCCTTTGCAAATAGGACAAAGTAGTCAAATACCCCTGTTTTGCTCCATGATTTGTTCCTGCCTGCACAGCAGCTCATTCCAACAGGACTCCGTGTGCTGTGCAGGAAGAGAGGGATCTGCACTTCCAGAGGATGCAAGAAAAGCCAAGGGCTGGGAATGTGGATGGAAGCAGCTGCACTGGAAATAGCAGCTAACAGGAATTTTTTTCTGTCCTGAAACTGCCTCAAAGAACATCAGATAAAATTATTACAAAGAGTTGTTTGTCAAAACCGCTTTAAAAAAAATCACGCTCTCATAAAATACCTCCTTGTGAACAAAAAACAGGAATTAAAAGACAGGGGAGAGTTTTCACAAGAGTGGGAAATTCAGTGGAAAATACCTGGACTGAGATCAGTGTTGTTGAGCAACATCTTCCAGAGAAAAGGGCAAAGGATGAGCTTTTGGGGTTTTTAAACAAAAGCCAATTTGAAGCTGATAAAATTCCTGGGCCGGTCAAAACTAAAGCTGACTGTGAGGACATCCAAAGGGACACCCAAAAGGACACACAGTGGTGTCTCAGTGTATGAAAAGCAAAGATAATCTTAGATTTATAGGAAAGAACCAAAATTTGTGAGGGTACAACACATACAAGAGCTGCAGGGGTATTTTATTCCTTGATTACATCATCCTCAAGACTAAATTCAGCAAAACAAAGAGAAAGATCTGTCAGAAAAGGACTTAAAAAAAGAGGTTTCTGTGGCGAGCAGAAAACCACCTTCTTAACAAGACACAGCACAAAACTGCCCGTTTCAAGCTCTGAATAATTTGTCTGCTGCTTCCAAACCAATCTGAAGGGTTTTAATACTTCCTACTCCGAGCAGATATCAAAATAATTCAGAGATATTTTTATGCTTCAAACGGAGGGCTCATCTTTAAGCGTTTAAGGCAGTCACGTAGCGGGTCCTGGCTGCTCCCAGGACTTGGCACTGTCCCCCCAGCACAATTATGGCTTTGCTTTCCCCCGTCAGCATTTCGTGCTCCTTCCAGAACCACCAAACCAAAGGGGCTGGAGATCTTCCGAAGGCCTTTTCAAAGGGAGCCTGTTCTCCCCTCAGCCCAAAGACACAACTCCTCACTCCTCTGCATCGGCCCAGCAGCCCCAATCCTTTGCTCAAATTATAATGATGAACTAACACCATAAACCGGCTTTGCAAAAGAGATTTTCTTATTTTCTTTTCTTTTTTTTTTTTTTTTCCTGGTCAAGTCTGGTGTGTGAAATAAAAATATTTAATCTAGAAACGTGGAGGTATCAACAGCATCTAAATCACTGCTAAAAAACAGCTTTGCAGGATAATTCCTGTGCAGCATCTTCTGCAGGCTGTAAACTGGATTGATTCAATAGGGTTTTATTTAAGGAAAAATAAAAGTGATAAATGCACTGCTGTTATCACCCCCTGCAACACGACAGACAGGGGAAAACTCCTCCTTTTACTCTGCGTGGCAAGATGCTCTTTAATAATTTAATAATAATCTTAAATATTTTTCCTCTGGAAACACGACACAAAGCAAAAATGTCACAACATTAAAAACTGTCAGGCAGCTCAGTTGTACCACTCTGAGAATACAATAAAGCCCAAATCTCTATCTGTAGGGAATGTTAACAGATTCCATGCTTTTTCCAATCACTGCTTAAAATTGTCTTCCTGAAAAAAACCACTCCAAAAGGAGTTTTTTCAAAAATCTCCACAGAATGGACACCCTGGCTTTGGTGACACGCATGGAAACAGCACTTGCTCAAGCAGGGAAGGATGGAGCTTCTTACACAATTCCAACACCACAAAGGAAGGAGAATAAAAAAATAAAATCCAAGGGATTAGACTGAACTGCATCATCAGCCAAAGAGCCTCTTTGGGAATGTCCCTCCCTCAGATGCCACCAACCCAAAGCCTGGTGCCCGTCCCAGGTCAGAGCTTGCACAGCTTTAAATCCCAGGGGAATTCTCCCCTATTAATACAACCTAAGGAAGTCAAAATTATGCTGATGGAACACATGCTGCCTTAGGAGTACATTATTTTGTGTATTAGAGATCTTTATATGGGTTTAACTGCCTCAGTATGGCAGGGTCATATCAAGCTGGATGGAGCACATTGCACAGATTTTGGGTGGACAAGGATGAAGACCAGAGCTGTACAACAATTTAAAATCATCCCAGGCCTCTGGCACACAAATTTCACCAATTTTAGAGCTATTCCTTGCAGAGCTGAAGTGGAAGATACTGCTGGAGGGACCTGCAGGGTAACAAATGGCCCATCCAATCAACCCCCCCATCGCCCCAGTAACGCTCCTTTCAACCAGCTGATGGTTTCCTACCACTGCAAACAGCAGAGCTGGAAATTTTTCCTGGAAATCACACACCAGTGGGACAATTTCCCTAATAACACATGCAAGTGCTGTCGGGGAGCTCGAGGGTAGCAGCTCATTCGCCTTCCCAGAGCCGACAGAGCCCACAGGAATCCTCAGCCTGCAATTTTTTTCAGGCCAACCAGGCTTGGTTCTCCAAGGTAGTGGCCTCTAACCACCCTACTATTAGGAGGAAAAGTCTCTCCCTGGGAAAGGTTCATAAATCTGAGCATTACTCAGTCACTGAGGCTCCTCAGGGTGCTCGAGGACCTCCCTTGCAGAGTCGGCAAAAAAAACCCGACGAGAAACGAACAATCGGACTCTTCCAGCCCTGACACCCCTGTGAATAAATGAGCACTTGGGAGAAATGGAACAAAGCAATAAATGTCATAAACTGCATGAAAGGAGCATTTGGCTATTCCTGATGCCCAAAGAGGGTTTTACCAAGGGACCTGCACCAGGGTTTTCCGAAGAGCTGCCCAGGAAAGAGCCCGTGGCCATGGTCCCAAAGCAGCGCTGCTGCAACACAACCCTGAGCAAAGGTTCACCAAATCCTCCTCATCTCACCCAAAAACAAAGAGACAGAGCACCAAGGGCGTCCTTACATTTACCACCAGCCACCAGTGTCTGCTCTGAGGGCTGAAGCTTTTTCCTCCTGTGCCATATTTTTCTTCATCCGCCGTATTTTCCGTCCTGCTCAACAGGAGCCACCAGTAATTATGACTCCAATTATTTTAATCTTTAAAGGCAAATTACACCACTTATCCCAGTGGAGACATGTTTTTAAATAAAACATGAAAGTAGCACAAGTAAAAAAATGGGCCCAAATCTAATCAAGCAGGTCCTACTCTTAACACAATTAAGAAGGAGTAATCCCATCATCGTAAAAACAAATAGGTTTGGCAATAATTATAAATATGACTGTTATATCATAAAGGTATCCTCGCTGATGACATCTCCAGTGGCTTAAACAGCTGAAGGTAGGGTTTGGTTCAGCCCCTACCCACAAACACCGACCCCCTCAGCCTCCCCCCAGCTTACAGCCAGGGTCAAACATCAGTGGAAAAGGGCTAAAAGTGATAGATCTGTGGCATTAACTACTGCTCTCCTTTTAATAGAATCCAGCATAAACTCAAACCAGCCCCGTGCTCAGCCTGAACCATTTATCTGAGACAAAAATGTCTTCTTGACAAAAACCAGATCCCCTTTAATAAAAGTGAGGCAGACAGTATTATGCTCCCAGGGAATCCTGCTGCTCTTTCTGTATTTACATATAAAAAGAATTCTTCTGTAGGACACGGAGATATAAAAAGTGAGGAAAATTGAGGCTAAACGTCTGAGCAGGAGGAGAACATCAGGTCAGACTTTGGGAGAGCTGCTCCCAGAATAAAAGCCCTGGTGTTAATGACCAGAGGAGTTATGTCCACGGTTCAAGTTTTATTACGGAATATGCTTTATTCTTTTGAGCTCCTCGCTGCTTCAGAGCAAAGTTTCCCAACAGTTCCTGCTCCTGATAAGCATCTTGATTTGGCTCAATTGCCATCAACTCCTCACCAAACGAAAATGAACTTTTGAAACTGCAGCAGTCGGTTGGTTTTTTTTTGGTTTTGTGGGGGGGTTTTTTTCTGTTGTTTTGTTTTTTTTTTCCTGAAAATTCCTCTTTAATGCAATAAAAAGTTAATAGGGAACAGGGAAAAAAACAAAACAAAACAAAAAACACCAATCACATTCTAAAACATAAACAGATCAACATGTTATCTTCTTCTTCTCCCAAGTTATTCTGCAAACGTCCCCCCGGATCCCTGGCTGGGTCGCGGATGAGCCGTGAGGGCTCCTCAGTCCCAGTCCTGGATGTTGGAATGGCCACACATTTCTCTGTCAGCCCACTGGGGGATGCTGAACAGATTCACATTCAGCCCCCGAAAAACCGGCGACTTTGGAGCAGGGTCATTACTGCAGCCTGCGCCTGGGTGGCCCGGGGGGTGAATTAATTAAAATACAGAAACAAAGGCCAAAGGAAAAGAATTTTTCTTTCAAACCCCAGCCAATAAAGTCTCACACGTTTAATTCCAATTATTGGGGGAAAAAAATAAAAAATAATTAAAAAAAAAAGAGGACATCTGTATAGTTTTAGTTTTATCCATTTCAATTAATTAACAGATTCAAATAAATAGTGGTTCCATCCAAATGAAAAGTTTGCTAACACTTCATTAGAAGGAAGTTTAAACAAGCACACAACCTTGTTAACATACTTTGGTTTACCACAAAGTTACTTGGGCATCTCGATAATTATTTTTATTCCTTTTACAAATACCTCATGACAGCCAACGTCAATAATTCTGCATTCCTCTGCATTTACTTAATTACCTCATAATTCAAATTTTCTTCAAGTATGGCCAATTATGAAAGTAGGAGCTATCACATCAACAACTGCTGGGGATGGGAGTTTACTACAATATCTACATTCATCAGGTTTATTACAAATATCTCCCCAGTAGATTTAATCCTGGAAGATTCTACGAGGAGACTTCTTTGCTCTTTAACTGTGTATTTTTCAGTGGTGAATTTGCATTTCACCCCCTGTGCAGTGCACGAAACACATCGAGTTGCACCTCACGTTCCTCACATTTGATGTCTTTGAAACGGGAGAAACAACAAAAAATTAGTGAGAACCTAGAGCTGTGAACAGTCCTTCTGGCTGGTAACCAAAATATGTTCCCCAATTGTCCTACTGGCAAATAAATTGCTGTATTTGCACAGAGCAAAAATCTCTTCACTGGAAGAGGAGTGGGCAAGCACTGGAAGGGGCTGCCCTGGGAAGTGGAGTGACCACCCTGGCAGGGGATGTGGCACTTCATGGGCTGGGGGGATTCGGTCAAAGGATGGACCTGATGGCCTTGCAGGTCTTTTCCAACCTCAGTGATTCTGTGATTCCATGATTCCATCAACCAGTGACTTTAGGAAAAACACTGGATCAGGAAAACAGAGAGTGAGCTGTGGGAGTCGCTGGATGGCAGTGGCTCTCCCCAAAATCCCAGTGAGGATTGGCACCAACCTGCTCCCTCACTGCCATGCCAGCCACAGGCTCGGCACAGGAACTTGGGGTGACCACCACCAGCAAGCAGCTTTGCCTCAGAAGAGCAGAACAATGTCAGAAGTTGGCAGAGTGGGGAGCAGCCCGTGGAGCTCCAGCCCTGCGCGCCCGGGATCAGCTGGAGGCTCCACCACAGGAGCAACCCCCGTTAGCTCAGGGAGATCCTCGCCTTGTCTAAAGGTCAGATGTGCTGAAACACTTCCCTGAACTGAAGCTTCACTCAATTCTGCCCTAAGAACCACCCAGGACTACCCAGCCAGTCCAAACATGTGCCACCTGCCCTGGGCTGGCATTCCTTGCCCAGCTCACAGCACCAGATCCCTGCCAGGCTCCTGGGGAATCACCCAAATCAGGCTCCACCACATGCACAAGTGCACAAAAATTTACATTTCCACTGGAAACAGAGCTGGAGGGACAGGGATGAGTTCAGTGGGGATTGGGAGCAGCCAGGACACTCCTCACATGAGCAGGTTCTGTGCTGGGGCCGTGGGGAACGACCAAGTACAAAGTGTATTTATTTATTTTTAATCAACTTTCCTTCTGCTAGAAGCACATTTCGGCAAGAAAAGACTGTTTAAAAAAGTCTCCTGCACCATGAAAAGCCTAACAATGCAAAAGAAAGGTTATTTTCATTCCCTGGAAAGAAACACAACACTGACTCTGAAAGCAAATCACAGCACTGAAGATAACGATCCGACAGCATTTTAGAACTTCAGATTTACAGATTTTCCTTCAGATTTCCAAAAATCTGAATGCAGCACCTACACACCACAACACATCCAACCCAGAGCCTCCCTCCCTAGAGATCCAAGGCAGAAAATGATCTTCCTACAACTGATGGCTTATTTATGTTAGAGCAGCAGTATTTGGACAAGGCAAACGTTATCATTTTTACAACTACTCTCCTGTAGTGCCCTTTAGGCTTGAGAGCTCCCTACTATTGTTGAGGTCAGAGGACAAGTTCATAAAACCTCTAAATCATACAGAACAAGACTTAAAAACCTAAGATCTATCATGTTGGGTTTTTTTTTCCCCCTAGGCCTGTGCAGAAGAATCAAAGCACAGACAACGACCTGCAGAAATAATGACCACGTTAAAAAGGCTTCATCAGAAATTTATGAAGGAAAATTGTTCTTCTTTTTTCCTTTTTTTTTTTCCCCCTGGTTTTATATGAACAGCCAAAAGACCTTTGTTTTTTTTTCCCTGGAAACAAAAACAAACTCCAAACAGCCAATAGTATTATTTTAAGACCTGACTCTTAAGATCTTAAATAAATAAATTCTTTTTCCATTCTCTTTCTTTTATTTTAATTTTGGAAGAAGAGGCCCATAATGTTTTATGCTGAGTCCTTAACATCTCCCTAACCCACCTGCCATGAGCACCACGAGCATAGGGAGGAAACAATAAAAAAATAAAGGCTTTTTCTTTTTAAATTCCATAAATGTGACCACGAGGAAAAAGATTTTACAGATTAGTTGGGAGTGTGTGGGAGCTGTGCATCAACACTGGATCCAGGAGCAGACACTCAGAAATTAAAGGAGTGAGAGAAGCAAATAAAAAAGGACATGGAAATCTTCTCTGCCTTAAAGAGAGTATAAAACCCACCCATTTATAGTGGCTGTGATAATGGTATGGATTTTGTAACAAATGGTTTTGCCTGATGCACTGTGTGTGCATTATTATATACAGTAAATTAATATATTATTGGTGAAATAGTGCAAATGCCTCACAAAATAGAATCCTGCCTGGCTGCATTTTAGTCTGGAGATTTATATAAAATTAGAAGCTTTTATAATAAACTTCCATCAATATCTTTTTTTTTAACCTGGAATTCAACAGTTCCCTGTATTCCTGGACCCCCACGTTTCCCAGCCACGTGGTGCATCAACAGCCACGATCAGACCCCATCTCCACCTCAGCTGATCAGCATCAATCAGCGTCAATTAGGAACAAGTGTCTGGAGAGACAAAATGTGACACTTCACGCCCCACGCTGTCAAAGTGCCACATAAATACTCTGGAAGGATGAGATAGATAGATATATATATAGAGATATATAGATTTTTTTTTTTGGCCTTGTTTCAGTCCCAAGCAGGACTTTATCCCTGCGCTGAGGGACCGCAACGAGCAAAAAAAATCCCATTTATTTTTCACTTTCAACGATGTAAAAAAGCCATTTTGGGGAGGTTTTAGTGAAAATGCAGGTGCTGCCCATGTGCAGACATTACCTGTCCCTCTGCCACCGTCTCGGTGTCGATGATGGTGACGATCCCAGGCACCAGAGGGCTCCGGCGGAGGTTGCTGTGAGCCAAAATCTCCTCCTCGGTGGCTCCCGACGGCAGCGTCCCCGTGAGCTGAGTGACCACCTTCCCAACCATGGTCAGCCCCGTCTTTATCGTCTGTGAAGAGGGAAAGAAAACCCCAATAAATGACATCCAGGGCCGTTTGGTGGATGATCTGCAGCGTTTTCTCAATGCAGATCGTGCACACAGGAAATAAACGGGATGAATCGGCACAGCTTGAAAAAATTCACCTCTGGTTTGGAATTCAATTATCCCAAAGCATTCTTAAAAAAAAAAAAAAAAAAGAAGCATTTTAATGTTCAACTGATTTAATGTTTTAATATTTTAAGTATTTTGGGGTTCAGTTTCTTTAATTTTGTTTTATTTCTGGAAGGATTAAATGACGAGGCCGAGCTGGGTGTGTAGGAGGGCAGTGCTCACACAGAAATACCCTTAAATGCTGGTCCTGACAGAGTTTTGTGCAGGAGATGGGATTTGGCCTTCCCTGCATCCGACCCACTCAGCAATTCAGCTTTTTGCAGCCTGAAAACTGAAAACAGGATCAAATGCAGGAAAAATTAAAACTGGTCCTGGAAAGCAGAGCCCTGTCCCCACACTGCACATCCCAGCACAAACCATGGGGCTTTCCAGGCTCGGCATGTTTTCCAGACGTGGCTTTGAAAACATTTTCACTGCACCAGCTTTTTATCAGCTAAAGATGCTGGAGATTGTTTTTATTTTTGCTTTATTTTGTTTGGAGAAAGGGGGAGAGTAGACACAGTAGGAGAGATGAGGGTTTAAAGAAAAACAACCCCAACTACAACTTCAAATATTTTCTCCTTGAATCAAGGACTGAGCCCGGTTTGCCTGTAAAAGAATTGAGCAGATTTATTATGCAATATAAATAAGAAAGAGCGAAAGAGATCAGAATGGAATGACACTGTAACAAGCCAATTCTTAACTAAAAGGACAAGCTAAGCTGCCTGCTAAATTGAAAAGGGGAGAAAAAAAAAAAAAAAAGCACCCAGATGCCAGGCTGAAAACCAAGGAGCAGCCACAAATCAATTGCAACTGCTTTGTTTAGTGCTAAAATCTCAAACTGCAGTGATTAGAAAACACATTAGCGTTCATCAATTAGCAGCCAAACGTTTGTTTTAATAATTCATAGGAAATGACTTACACAGGGGCTGTTGGGGTGCTGTCAGGAAAGCCTGTGCAGGGCCAGCAGCAGCAGGCGCCACCCGCTATCGATGGCCAGGAAGGCTGATTAACCTCTGAGATGCCTCCGCTGATGGACTCACCCCATTACTGCTAATGGAGATACTTCCACTTAAAAATCGAGCCAGGCCTTGAGCGCAGCGATGGCTTTGGGGTTTAAAGTCTTTAGTAATATCCTGCCATTTGTTTCTGATTATTTTCTTTTTATGCCCAGCGACGGCGGAGGGGAATGGAAGGAGCCGGAGCGGTGGCGAGGGCAGAGGGATGAGAACAGTGACAGAAAGCAGGGCCTGAGGGGTGGGGGACAGACCCAGAATGGCCCCGGTGCCACCACGGGGATGGGGCCCAAGTGCCCTCCCAAAAACTGAGCAGGCAGGTTCGGGGCCAGCACTTCAAACGCCACAACACGATCAGTTTACAGTTTGTCCAGCGGGAAGGAGAAATCAGGAAGTGCTACACAGCGAAGTGGAAAGGCCAAAAAAACTCTAATTGAACTATTTTAGAAAATATCTTTAATATTTCTACACCCTGAGATGACAGGGTGCCAAGTATAAATTTATAGCTCTCTAGGTAAACAAAAAAACCCAAAAACACTAATGTGCTTATGGAGCCCAACGAATTCCTGCCCCGAGGAACAGGAATCCTGAGGAGCTGTGGGTGTGCAGGGATGAGCCCATCAGCCCAGGAATATCAGTGGGAAGCCATTCCAGCACTTACTGCCCCGTGCTGTCCTGCAGATTTGCCAAAGTTCCCGGGTAATCTTTAACCTTTCCCATGCCATATCAGCTGTCCCCCCATCCATTAGGACTAATGACCCTGCTCTCACATAAGCTGTGAGTCCTCATTAAGGAGTTATCAGGTAACAAGAGAAAACAGATGCAGCCTTTGCTAAATCACTTTACCACTCCAGGATTAAAAGATAGGGAGAAAGAATCAGCCAAAGGAGTTATGAGGTGAGAAGGACTTGGTTTATAATTTGCTGCGAGACGTGTGACAGACCAAATACATTTTAAATGAAATAGGTTAAAGTTTGCACTGCCCCAGCTCCTCCTGTCACTGGTGGGAACCTGCCAGGGAAGTTTGCTTATAAATAAAATTAAAATCCTTGATCCAGCTCCTTTTGTAAGCAGTGATGCACACACATTATTTATAAGCTCACATGTACCCTATCTACTTAAAAATAAGACTGTTCACATTCATTTCAATCTAAAGAAATACATATATTTAATTAAAATAAATGTATGCACTCATATTCTATTTAATTGAAGAATAACTACAACTTTAATTAGATGAAAAGAATTAAAATGCACCATTCAGTGCTTTTTAGGCTCTTCTGTTCCAACAAAGGCCTTGCATCCTTTTAGTGACAACACAATATATTGTTCCTGTTTCTCATAATAAACACGTTTTATATGATTTATTTGTTGTCAAATCAAAAATCTACAGAAAGCAGGAAGATATCAAAGAGATCTGCCTTGGGTGTCAACACAGCTGAGCCTCACAGTCAGTGTGAACGAAAGTGAACACTCAATCAGCTACAGATTCAAGTTCAAACTAAGTGTTTGTGGAAATATTTGAGCTTTGCAAAGAAGTTTCCCTTTCCTGCTCTTGCCCCACGTTCTGAAAAGAGGTAAAAACAAGGAATAGAACTGTTAGAGAATTCCTCTTAAACAGAGAGTGTAACTGCTGGGGGTACCTGAGGAAGGGCTGTGGGAGCCCCACGTGAACACAGAGAGCTGGGACACGCTGGGACTGAAATTCTCCTCAACAAGACATGGGGAAAGAGAAACAAGAATGTCTTTTCCCAATTCCCCTTCCTTGCTGCACCCAAAATGGATGAATATGGATAATTAGAAGCAAAAAAATTATTCCACATTCAGATGGCTCTCTCAAACCAAGCACCTGAGCATTCTCCCATCAGCAACACCTTTAATAAGGTAAATAAAACCAGGTAATAATGGAGTCTGTTCTGAAAATTAATCTGCTTCCATCCTACCCCATCCAGCAGGGGTGAAAAGAGACTTTATCCCATAAGGAACAGTATTTTCATTTTTCCAAATATATCAGTTTCTACCCTTGATAATAATTGACCTAAATGGGAACCTTGAGACATTTTCTATTTCCAGAAGTTTTCTGCTTGGTCAAATGATAGAAGTTCTCAGAGCTTTTAGAAGGTGAACAGCCAGAAAACCACCAAAGTGTGGCCCATCAGAGATAGAGCTGGGAAAGATGTGTGTGCTTTCCTGCAGCAGCAGCAAGCTGTGCTCCTGCCAGATGCATTTAAGGAGAAACAGCAAAAAGCTCAATTTTAAAAATAAAATCCTTCTAGAAATCACATAGGAGGATGAGACAAAGGAATTCTTCAAAGTGTCACCTGAAAAACAAGAGCTCTGGCACCAGTAACAACCCACCCCAACGGGACCACAGTTTTCACCTTGGCACTGCCAGCTAAGAGGGACCTTCTGACTTGATTAGGGAGGAGATTCCTTTGCTGCATCAAGTGCAGGGACTCAGCAGGACCTCCCAGTGAGGACAAACCCGCTGTCACCACCAGGGAAAACCATTAAAGTCAATATTCTGTGCTGCCACCGAGCCCTTCTCGAGAGCATCTCAAAGGCAATTCCCCCAGGTGGCTCTGCTGAAACCCCTCCTTGATGGTGAGGCAGTGAGATGGACAAAGAGCAGCAGATATCTGCCAGCAGGTCAGTGCTGCAGTTCTCACAGATGAAAACTTGCTGGATAACAAGCCAAGGCTCAGGGAAATCGCTGATAAATTAAACATTTCGGATTCACGGTTGCGTTATTTGCGGGTAACAAATTAATACACTGAGGCTGAGACAGACTCAAGAGCCAAAGGGTGCAAATATTTAAAATGGTATCAGTATTAATCTTGTCTCTTCCAGCACCAGTGAGGAGCACAAGGCGTGTGCTGAGCAAACACCAAGCGGTGCAGACGCTGCCCTGGGGATTATCCCTTTTCCTGACTCTCACTGTGAGTTTATCTCTGGACAGAGGCGAACAATCTTTTCTTTCCTATGATCATAAACACATTTTATCTTCACAGTATCTACTCACATGATGCAATAGCACTACTTCAGTGTGATAAATTCAGCTTAACATCGGAATTTCTGGATTATGCTCCCTGGCTAGTGCTGCTCAGCAGGGAAGGCCATCGGCTGCAGGGATCTGTTTGGAGGATTTTACCACATCTGATCCAAACTGTGGCTGATCACATTAAGCCAGTCAGTTCTTCAGACTTATCTCTGCTATGAAAAAGATGTTCACGATACTGAGATTGAAGGAGTTTTGGGGAGATTTCCCCACACACCTTTTTTTTTAAATTTTTTTTAACTCTGCTGATGGTGAAAGCAGACAGAGATCCAGCAAATCACAGCAGGAGAGGAGCAATTCCAGTTCCCCTCAACTATGTAACAAACTGTGATTTTTCTCCTCCTCCAGCCACGCTGGGATTGTGAGGGAATATGTTTGTTTTTATGTTTTGTTTTTACATGAGCTGGCCTGCCCTGTGTCTCTCTTTGCGGCTTCTTCTAAGTGTTGTTTTCTCCAGTGACACTGAGCCTTCTGTCCTGTGCTGTCATTTCAGTCCTATTATTAGGTTTGTTTTGTTGTGCCTATCAGAAATGAAAAGGCTGGTGGTTGCAAGGAAAGCTTGTAATCAGCGCCCAGTTCACCAGGCAGTGCCAAAACTCACCCTGTGTGTGTCTGTGTGTGAGAAAAACAAAGCACTTGGCAAAGTGCTGGGGCTGGGGGGGAACAGTAACACAAAAGTTGTGCATACTCTGTCCTGTTTTAGAGTTTTCCAAGCCATGGTTCTTTGGGTGCCCTGAAACCCCAGATATTTCTCTGAAAAAGGAGGATATTGTAACATTCGAACCAAGAGAACGAGGCAACGGGACCGATATGTAAACAGTCATTAATAAGCTCTAACCTTCAAAGAAGGTAATTAATTAGCTCCAGGACTGCACTGTCATCCTTCAGAGAGATTAAAAAGCACAGTTGTGAGCGTGATGGAGTCCAAGAAGCATCAAGTACTCGTAAAGTCACTTTTCACAATGCTAAAAGACTAATAATTCCAAACGCTGATTAACTTGCACCATTTTGAGCAGCCATTACACAAACCCATTTCACTACGACTTTCCCCTAATATGAGGAGCTCTTTGCAAGAAATACAACTCCTAAAAATCAGTTCAGGACCGGGAACACTTTGTGGGATACTCTGAGATTGGCAGGGTGGGGAGCACGGGGATGGCGCTGATGCTTGCAGGGCTCTCCCCTTGGGGAAGGGAGGGGGTGATGACACACAGCCCAATTCAGCAGGGAAACCTAATAATTATGTTCCACGATAACCTCTCCCAGAGCAGATGATGGACTCACTTTGGCAGCACTAATGACTGTGGCAGTGTAAGACTGGATGTTGTCTCCACAGGCTCCACCACGGGATTGATGGCATCGGATCAGCTACGAGAAGAAAAGACAGCAACCAAGTAACTACTATTAAACTACACAAACCCATAAGCCATTACCAGAGCTCTTATTTATCATGTACAGTGGTGTGTTGTTTTTTTTTTTTCCTTCCCTACAAATAGCAGAAAGCCCTGCTGAGACACTTAACCCCTTTTTATAATCTTCTGGGTGCCACCCAGACTGTCGCGTCCCCCGCTCCAGTTTTCAATTACCAGATGAGCAGTCACTAAGAATTCATAAACTTTGAAATGGTGGGATTTTTGGTCTGGCAGCGATACCACAAATAAATTTAAATAAATATAATCAAAAGCTTTAGCCCTGTGTACGTAACATTAAATATCAGACGTTCTAAGAATCCGAGGCTTTTCTCCCTCCTCTTTGTGAGCAAAGAGATGACAAAGGGGAAAGAGCTGCTTTTAAACTTTACATTTAATAGATTAAAGGAAATGTACACGGGGTTTGCTTTATATTGCCTCGCTGCAAAATTAATAAATCAAAACAAGGCTCTTGTACCTGCCATCCCCCTACACAAGGTTTTGCCTTTGAACCCTGACTCCCAGGAGAATCTGTGCTTCTGACTCAATAAAATGATAAAAAACTAGAGGTATTTGCTGCTTGCACACAGAACACGTTGCCTGTTTGACTGTTTGAGCTAAAGAAAATGAAAAATCGCTGCAAGATGGATTTGTTTCTACAGGCTTTTCTGCCTTTAAGTATCTAAATAAAAACAGTTAAACTAGGGAGAAAGGGGAAGCCCACAGGGAATTTACCTGGGAACACACAAACCATTTAAATTCCCTCTGTGGTGCAATTCTTTTGCTGATCAGTGACTTACATTTTGTCAGCAAAATGCGACTTTTTAAATCCCAGGCTGACTGGTTAAGTTTTACAGCACCAGGCAGGCGTGGAATGAAGGGAAAGGCAGGCCTGGATTTGGGAAGGAAATCGGTTGTGCTGGGAGAGGTGTAACAGCAAAGGCATTTCTCAAGTCTGCCTCTGATAATTCCTGCCTCAGCTCTAGAAACAGCTACTCCACTCACAGGTGGAAGGGAGAAAAAACATCTGCTTTGAAATAAAAAAAAAAAAAAGGTTTTAGAAGCCGAATTTAGACTTTTTAAACACTTGGAGCTTTAAATACACGCTCACGCCTCTGGCCCAGGGCTGGGTAAAAGGAGTGATCATTTCTTTGTCTCTAGAAACAAGAACAAAATTATTTCAACATTTTCTTTTTTTTCCTGAAGCTTAACATTTTCAACAGAATTGTTCCAAAGTGGGCATTTTGATGTCATTTTCTAACCCACAGAGTGCCTTGCTGTGTTGTTTCCCACAAACTCACTGGTTCTTTCCAGGTTCAGCCCCCCAAAACAGAATTTAGGAACTGTTTTGCCTGCCTTCAGAAGTGCCTATAACTAAGTGTTTTAAACTGTTAAAGCACAAGAGGGAGTGATTATTGAGTCACCTCACTGAAAACATTACACGTGCCCAGTAAATATATGATATATAAAAATACCTATTAGATCTGTCATTTTAATGCAACTCCTCCTAAAGAGCTCCTTTTTCACGCACTTTTTTCCTGAGACTTTTTCTTTCCATTTTCCCCCCTTTATAAACAACAACAAAAAAATCTAGAATGAAATCCAGAAGTATCTTTTGCAATTAAACCTTTCCTTACCTTATTTTCTGCATAAGCAAGCCAACGGCTTCCAAGGGCAATAGGATTCATGTTTGGCCCTGGACAAGGGTAGCAGCCTGCAAAGTTGGAAAAGGGAACATGAAGAAATATCTTAATGGCTCCTCACAAAGAATTTTATTTATTGCCAAGAAAACAAAAAAAGCCTAAACAAACCTCTTCTGTTTGCTAATATCACTCAGTGGATGCTTGCATTTTTGTTCCTCGAGATAAGGCTGTGGTTAGCTGAGCTATTCTGAGCATTTAATTATGTGTAAATAATAATTTCTCCCTATGCTTGCATTTTTAGTGCCATTTTGATACAGCGGGGTGAGGGGATATTGATGTCTGACCCAACTGGTTCTGCACCTTCACATTTTAATCCACTGGCACTTTATTCTAAGGGTGAACAGTTTGCTCACTTCAAGCTCTTCTAGATTTTTGTTGCATGAGAGGGTGAATTGTGCTTTTGGTTTTAATAATTCTATACAGAAGGCCTCAGCCTCTCAAAATGCTTTTGGTTTTGATTTTACCAATTCTATATACAAGACTTCAGCCTCTCACTGTACTTTTGCACACACTTAGCTTTACACAGTGAGGGAATTCGTAATTCATTTAAAAATCAGCGGCCACCTTTCCATTTTTCAGCTGCTTTCCATTACCTGTACATTGTCATTAAAAACAGATACATACACAGATAAAGATCAGTATGTGAAAATAGCTGTGAATGAAATTATGGCAAGGCTCAAAATAAATCAGGCCCATGTTAAACGGCATTTAATACATAAAGTTTAAAAAATACATTTTTAGTGAAATTTTGTAAATAAATATTTTTATAAATAAAAAATTTAAAACTAATTTATATTATAAAACCCACATTTTTACACTAAAAATAAGGGGGAGAGAAAATGAGGGAAAGGAGCCTATCAAGCAAATGGTTAATGTCAGTTTTCAACAGTCAATTTAGTAATCTGAATTGTCTCACGGATTGCCCAAGAATCACCATATTTAAAATCTTATCGACATGTGTGTGTGATTCAGAGGAGCCCTGGGCAGCTGGTCCTGTGTCACATTTGAGGGAGCGCTGGGATCAGGGAGAAAACAGCATTTTAGGAGAACACACATAACACACAACTGCAGTTTATTCCATAAAACCCTAAAAAAAAAAAATAAAAAAAAAAAAATTAAAAATAAACCGGACACAGCCAGCTGAGCTTTTATTGCCCCCAAATCTCCTGTATTGGGCTCTGCCACCGCTCTGCCAACCACAGGGAGAAAAGGCAGATTGACCTTTGTAAATACTCCTGAATCTGTGAACAGGACCCCCCAAAAAAAAGCCCAGAGCATTTACTGAGGAGAACACTTTTATGGGTGGAATGGCTTCATTTCCAAGCGCTGGCAGAGGCTGTGGGAGGGCGTCAGAACAAGTTTAAACCCACATTTGCCAACACTCTCAGCTCAGGCCCCGTGAGGATAAAACAGCTCTGGAGTTCATTGCTCAGAGCAGGAGGGCACTGCAAAATTCAGAACATCCCAGTAAGTGATTTCGAAGGAGAGAAGCAGCGATTCACCCACTCCAACCCACTTTAGGCCGGGAAAGCAAAAGCAAAGCGGAGCATTTTGCGAGGCCTTATCAGCGCCCCCACCTCAGGAAGGAAAAGGCATTCTGAGGAGACGATGCCACAATTGTTACTGCCTTCCAGAAGTGCATAAAATGTGGGCAGCCAGAGCCTCTTAAGGAACAAAGCAAGCCAAAAAAAAAAAAAAAAAGGTTGTAAATACAACCCTGGGTTGTAAACACAAGTGGGTTCTTCCGATGACATTATAGATCGGGGCCGGGGAGGTTTTAATGCCTCGGTAGCTCTGGTCTGGGTCAGTAGAGGCATTCAGGTCCCCCACATCTTTTTGTCTGCCTTTTTACGGATAAAACACAGCATGAAGAGCTGCCAGGTGATAATCCTCCTCGTGTAAATCTCTGCAGTGACTTTACAACCAGGGACCTGCATTTCCCAAACGCTGGAAGCGCCTCGTGATGTCCCCATGGGAGAAAACTAAAGGAGTCTCAGCAATTCAACAACTCACAGCAAAAAGTGAGCCTTGCTTGGAAAAAGGAGCTGTTCTCAAATACTTCAGTGAACTGAAGTAAATGAAGAACTGCAAAAAAGCACCCTTCAAATCAAAAATGGATCATATAATAGAAGAGTTACTTGGGAAAGCTGGGACTGCCCTCCCCAAACCCGCTGGTGGTGGTTTGTTCCATGAACTGGGCTCAGTCAATCAGACTCCACACACACAAATCAGCCAGTTCTAAGAATAAACAGAGGTCAACAATTCAGCTCGGTCCTAAACTCTACTCTGCAGCACGAAAAACAGCGTAAAAAAAAGAGCTATTTCCTCCCTTTCTTTTCTTTGCAAGTCTCTGCATTTCAGAGAGAGCAAGCACAGGGGATAAACAAAGGGTTATACTTGATGGGAAGGAAAAGCAAACTGTTTTTCTGCTTTCCAAAAAAACAGCTGGAGTCAGCAGAACATCATCTCCAAGGCAGAGGAAAAGACAGACATGGCGTGACCCACCGAGCTGGGCCACCCAACCCTCACCAGCCTCGCTCTCTTAAAGATTAACTTCTATTTCTACAGAACAGCAGAGGAAAAGGCCATTCCAAGCAGCAACAGCAGCAACTTCAGCCTGTTTACAAGAGGAATGAGCGTAATGAGAGTGCAGAACTAACTGTCAAGGAGACCAAAGTTTCCAAAGTTTAATGACAGCATGGAGGGGTCATCCAAGAAGGGATTGCTGAGGGAAAGTCCTTCCAAAAGTGCAGTAAACCAAGCAAGCACAGTTTCTTAGTTTCTTTTCTTTTTTTTTTTTTTTTAATAGCAGAGTTATAAAATGATAACCTGAAATAGGACTATTATGATTAACTGTATTCAAAGATGCTTTTAGCACCTTTGTTGCTCTCCTGATTTTATATATTTGGGTTTTACTGAGAATGCAGGAATGTTACAAGTTACTTACAGTTCTCCAAAGAGCTACAGAAATGTTTGCTTGGTGAGTAAGCAAAGAGAAGGTACATTTATTTTATATTATTATTACTCTGGTGCTAATTATGAAAATCCCTGCCACCCTTTGGAAATTCATATCCATAAACCAGATGGCATCTCTCAGGTGCGATGACCACGACACTGGGATGGGACAGTCAGCAAACACCAGGAATGCTGGGGAAGGCAGACTCCAAAAGGAGTAACTCATTTCAACCGAAATTATTTGCCTTTCATCATCCAAGGGACTTGCTGGATATCACTAAAAAAATCAGTGAAGCAGTGACATTGGGTATTTTTAAATAAACAGCTCCAAGAACCCGCTGAAGCTGTGCTGCTTCTCTAATAATCAATGTGTAACTCCTGCCTAGGCCTTACAAAACACACAGCACTCCACAGGAATGGAATTACAGAGCTACATCCTCGAGTCCTGCCCTCCAGAGAGCAGATCCATCAGGCAGAGAGCACAGAGAGGGAATATACAACAAATAGCTGTTACACTGATACTGTTGTAGCAAAAGCATTGTTTATTCCAAGGAAAACAAATCATAAAAGTTGTTTTATCTAATAGTTTTTTGTTGTTTTGGTTTGGTTTTTTTTTTAAGCAAACCAATTTTTTTTGTTTGTTTATAAACTGTATAAAGTAATATTGTTTATAAATTCCTCTGGGTCCCTCCTAGATGAAAGGCCCTGTGTAAATGTTATTACTCTCACGATGTCACACACTTTCCAAAACTCTTCCATTGTTCTTGTACTTCCTCCTGTTCAAGCATCACCCATAAAATGGGTGGGAGAACGAGATGAGCTTTAAGGTCCCTTCCAACCCAACCCATTCCATGATTTTGTGCTATCCTGGAGCAGAAGAACTGAATTCCCTCACACAAGATTGTGGAAGTACTACAGATTTTTTTTTTTAAATTATTATTATTATTAGCATTATTACAATTATTAGCATTATTATTGCTATTATTATTATTGCTACTATAACTATTTTCACTACAGAGATATTTTTGCTACTCCCCTGTGCTCTCTATCAGGGCAGTTTTAAGCATGTGGACTCTGATGATCCCACTGTGTCCCTTCCAGCTCAGGATATTCTAGGATTTCACTGTTACTCCAAAGGTCCAAGACCAACCCCAGAGCTTTTACCAAAAATACCTCTGCCCTTTAATGTTCATTAGGCCTAGCTGTTTAATTTAGCACAAATGTGTCTGATTTCAGGACAATGTTTAATCTCAGGTTCCCTTTTTTTTGCTCAGGGACTTGGGACAGTGATAAATAACAACCTTAGCACCGAGGCTGCTGTTTCTGGGCAGGACAATGTGAGCGAGATGGCTTTGTCTGGCCTTTAACATTAAGGATTCGGGTGCTTTAGATAAAAATAACTTGCACAGAAACAAACAGCACTTCCTGTTCTACGTGTAATTTTTACAACTGTCAAAGCCAGGAGATGTGACAGAGTCACATCTCGGGGACTCGATGCAGTTTTTGTGTTGTATTTCTATTTTCCTGCAACGTAGCAAAACCTCCTGTGAGCAACCAAGCCATTTGTTTCCCTAAATCTGCCCTATAAAAGCCCCTTCAGAAAGTATTCCAGCATCATCCTGGATCAGTGAGGCACCAGTTCCCACAGCCAGGAAGAAACCCTCGTATAAATAACGCCGTTAAAAAGCAAAAAGCGAGATCAAACCAACATTTCTGAGGGAAAGGACATAAAAATGCCATGGAGGGTGATGTGTTCATATATATGAGAGTGGATAAAGATAAAAAGTGCTTAAATTCACAGGGACATACTTGGCTCCTCTTCACTGATCAAGAAAATGCTGTGACTCAGGAGCTGATCCCCACCTGCCTCAAGGACTTTCGATCTCCCCCCCCAGCAGACACAGGAATCCTGGCAATGATTATCCCAAGTATTCTGTGTGGGATAACCAGGATAAATAGCACAGCTGAGGAGGGAGATGCACACTCAGAACTCCTTCAAGAATGTGACTCTTCAGCCATTAAACCTTCTCACAAGACACCCAGCGTTTTTTCACTTCAAAAGCAAAGAGCTCCAACTGCTCCCCGGGAGCCCGTCAGGAAAAGGAATTCCAACAGAAACGCCCCAAAAAGATGATTTGCAGACAAACTGAAGCCCCCCAGTCACTCCTCCTGGGTGAATGTCAGTGCAAACAGCAACACCAAGGCCAAATTAGAGCATCCAACACCCTCTGGTTTGGGGTTTTGCCTTTACTTTGAGAGGTGCAGGAGGGGGTGCATCCCAAGCCACGGAGTAACTGTTGGCCTGTGGGTGGGTGAGCCTTTGGAGACCTCCTGTGCAGCGAAACACTCGACTAAAACCTGGAAAATTACCTCTCAGGGCTCTAAGCTGTGCAGCATCAATAGAAATGTGGTGCCAGCTAATGGCTGCAATAACTGTCTCCATCCCTGGGGAATGATGGATGGAGAATTTATCAATAGGAGGAGTGGAAGGGCCAGAGAACCTGAGCAGGCTCTCGTTATCAGCCCCACAGATGATGCCACACGCATGATGTTATCTGGGCTCATCTTTACCCAGGGCCCAGGGGGTGGGAAGGATTATTCTTCACGGAGAAGAAAGTATCCATCAGGCCATATTCATAACCATCAGTGCTCACTCAGTAAGCAGTTTTGGAGATGGGCTGAGGGAGCACTGATGTAATAGAAATCAATGAAATTCAGCTTTTCTGCAGCTATTGTTTAGAGCAAAGTGGGGGGGGGAGGAAAGCCTGTACATCACTTTGGTTTCTGATGATGTGCACAGCTCAGAAAAGGCTCTGAAACGAACCACAATAAAACCCCTCATCACTAAAAAAAAAAAAAAAAATCTATTTTAAATCCACACCTTGACACTCACAACTAGGAAAGGAAACACTTTCTTATCATAAGCATCAAACGGGTTTCTTTTTTTGGTTTGGCCACGTGAGCACTTAAAACAGGGCAGGATGTGAAGGAACTGCTGGGCTTTATCCCCCCCTTGGAGCAAGGCCTTTCCTAGGGAAAAGGAGCTGGCTCCAAGCACAGGGATGGATGGAAGTTCCTGCCACAGGCTCTCTGCAGACTGATGATGCTCTGCCTTCCCTGAGCAGGCATTTAAAAAATCCCAACCCCTACCCCAGGGTAGATTATGGGATATCCTGGTCATTTTTCCACAATGGCTCCAGTATGTTTTCCCTCCACATTGAAGCACCTGCCTCAAATCCCCTGGCCCAGGCTGGAGCACCTGTACCCTGAGGTTTTGTTACAAAAGGCACAACTAAAACCTGCTGGCTCCCTGCCAGCCCAGTCAAATCAGCTCATTGCCATCTAATCCCATGCAGGGGAAAAAGAAAGGTTAGTACTATGTCAAATTTGCTCCAGAAAAACCAGGAAATGCAGGAGCTAAACATTCCAGCAGCAGCACGAACTTGCCCGTGTTCTGACATCCTGAATATTTTATGGTGTATTTATTGTAACAATATATTAAGCTACACATTCAACCACAAAAAAAACCAAACAAAAAACCAAAAACAGAGAGACAAACACTCCTCACGTGCGAGGCAGCTGCATTAGCATTTCTGAGGGACTTCAGAATTCCTGACACTGCTTTTAATTGTACCTTCTGCATCTGATTTCTGTGGACAGTCAACAAAAAGGACCAGAGCTGCTGCTGGGTGTTTGCCTTTGAGCTGCCTCAGGGAGGCTCCAAGGCTCCCACGCCACGGGGCTGATATGGATGGAAGATGTGATTTCCACATCACAACAAAACTGGCTTGAAAAATAATTTTTTTTTAATATTTTTGACCTTTTCTGACCAAAAGCAGTCAGACATCACAGCTGAGAACCCTCTTGGTGCTGAGAGATTCCCTGGGCAGGCAGTGACATTGTCACAGCCACGGCCCAGCTGAGGTGACCAGGGTGAGTCCAGGTGGGACACAGGCTGTCCTGAGGAGCAGGGATGCTCCAAAAACAGGAACAAAGAGTTTAAAAGGCCTTTTTTGGAGCTTCCTATTCAGGGATTTCTACCTTTTCAATTTAAACTGGCACTGTCTTGTAATAAATATAAAAAAAAAAAAAAAGGCAGCAAGAGAGAGCCCAGTTGTGGCCAGTTGGCTGCCTCCCAAAAATCCCTGCAGCTCATTTACATCCAATTCCAAGCCCAGCAGAGTAACTTAAGCCTTTAAAGATCCACTCTCAGGTGGAGGAGATTTCAGCACACGAAATGTGAAAGCCCAGACAAAAGCTCTGCTGCAGCCCCGGCGTGTCGGGGCACAGCACCCACCCTGGGAGCCCAGGGAGCTGCACAACCCTCAGCACAGCTCCCAGAAACCCAGTTATCCAGGGAAAAAGCACCTGGCTCTGCCCACTCACTGGGGACAGGCCACTGGCCAGCTGGGAGGCTCCAAAACACCCCCAAAATGAGGGTGTCAATCAAACTTGGGAGCCCAGAACCGCAACAGGGTTTGAGAAAATCTCGAGTTCCTCACACTGAAAATGCTGCACAGCTTGAGAAATACACTGTGATTTGTGGAGTTGGGGATTTTTCAACTCATTTGCTTGTTATTCCCAAGGTTTTACTTCATCCTCCTTAAGTTCCATAAAAATGCACTGCAAATCAAAGGCAGGGGAAGGAATAAGATTACCCTGTTCCTCAAAATACAGGTCAGTGAATTGGTGTTTAAAAACAACCAACCAAACAACACAACAAAGTAACTGGAACGAAAAAAGCACCAAAATTCTCAAAATACACATTTAACTGAGGGGTTTTTTTACTTTTGATCCAAAATAAAGCAAGGTTGGTACCCTAATTCTCATTCCATGAGGAGTAAGGAATAGATGGACACAAATAAAGTCTTTTCCCACTTAGTTCCTGTCACTGAACTCCAGCAGATTTCCAGGATCTTCCATCCATGGATAGGAAGAACCTGACACCTATTGGCAACTTTAATATTACTGCAGAAAGTTGCTTGCCTTCAGACTATCCCAAGAAAGAGCCTCTCCCAGTGAGATTTTCCTATAGATACACAGATAACACAGAGAGATCATTTATGACATTTCCAACTGTGACTGAAAAATTCATCCAGAAAAATTCAGGCTCTCCTTTGGAATAATAAAACTCAGACCTTTCCAAATAAATCATGAGCTGCTGGAGCTTTGGGGCCTGGTAAAGTAAGGACACATTAAAAAAAAATAAAACAAAGCCCAGAATAAGCAGTTTTCCCCCACTCCAGTCTGCAGCAGCAGCACTGACCCCGACGTGGTACGTACTGGTGACGAAGAACTTTTTGGTGAAGGTGCAGCTGTCAAAGGCAGCGATTTTCTCCTGCAGGACCACCACCAGGATCCTGCAAACACAGAGGGGGAACACGTGCCTCAGACACACTCAAAATGCATGGGCCTGAAGATTGGATAGCTCAGTGTCATTATTTCAAAAGGCTGCAGTGATGAAGGGGCCACGTCACCCACCCCTGGCAGTTGTGGAGGGTCCTCTCCCCTCCCGACCACACAGCCTTCCCTTCAGGAAGTACAACAGATCTGCTGCACAGCACATTTATGATCTGCCTCCTGCACTAAAAGCTCCATTAAAAACAAAGAATGGGATTGCAAAAAAACAAACAAAAAAACCAACCTGAATTACTTTCACTGACTCAAATAACAATCAAATCAACGACAGGCAGAACGGGAGCTAAATTTGAAATAATCCCATTGCCCATCTCACTGAGAATTTATTAAACCATTTCATTTACTAAGAGCAGGGCAGGGTTTAATACCAACAACATCAGCACACAAGGACAGTTGAGAGAAGCAGAATTTGTGTCAATAAGCAAAATTGAAGGTGTATGTTTATGTATCTGCTTGTACATGACACGCTTTTATTGTAAAATACCTGCTCATCACCTGAAGTAAAGAGCAAAATCCACATGTAAACTATGCAGGAAACACTTTGCTGCCTAAAAAAATAGAGGCCAAAGGTGCAAATGTGGAAGCTTTATAACCAGGATTCACCTTCTCCCACACTGAGAACCTCCCCAAACTGAGTTTTTAAACCCCTGTATGACAGGCTGGAACAAACCATGTCTTACTTATTTGTATTATCCACCTGCCTTGCTGAAGGACCATCAGCCAGATCCTCACCCAGGGATCCTGGGACTCCTCCTCTGCCTTAAAAACCACAATAATCTCAGTTTTGTGTGTCTGGCAGAGATGGGAATTTAAAATTAACTCAGCAAAAACTGAACTCCTGATCCCGTGGACACGAGGGAGGCTGTTTGGACTCCGGGATCCTCAGCCTGCAGAGCTGTTTGCTCTCTCTGTCCCAGCTGAGAGGTGCAGCTCTATTACTGGACTCACTGGAACACCATTCCCTGCAAACCACAGGCTGCACACCAGGAATGGTTTGTGCAGGAAGGTAAAGCCTGACAGAACAACAGGAGCACAGAGGAGAGGGACATAAACTCCTCAGTGCTCTTTAAACTCCCCACGATCCCATTTCTCCAGCTGTAGGTGGATGATCAAGGATTTCAACGATTCCTGCTCACCCTGAAAGGAGCTTAAATGATTTCAGATGCAAAATGGTCTGAGCTTCTTAAAAAAAAGCCATTGGGGAAGAGCGTTGTGAGATCCCAGCTGAAATATTCCCAGAGAAAGGCAGAACCAAAGGTGTGCTTACAGGAAGGGCAAAATAATTGTATTTATTATTGAAATTTTCCAGGCCCTAACACAGAAGCAACGCAGAGTAACCCTCCTTACCTCTTGTTGCAGTGGAGGTCATAAATGGGAGTTTTGAACTGGATGGACTTGACCATCTCTCCTGTTCTCAGGGAATACAGATCCACACAGCAGTAGGGGGGGCTGGTGCTGAAAGGAATGTAAAAAAAAAAAAAAAAAGAGATTTTAATGGAAATAGAAGTATTTTAAAAATTGGTTTTTAATTATTTCAGCCTTCTTTTATTGCTGAGCACGCTGAAGGAAAAATCACAGAATCCAAGCCCATCAAGTCCAACCCCTGACCCAAGGCTGGACTCGTAATTCCAGCACTCCAAGGAGAAATGCTGGAGAACAAAGGGGTCAACATGAGCCTTCTGCAAAGGGAAGGCCTGCTGAAAGCTGAATGATGATCTCCACGATGGGCACGAACCTTTATTGGGCAACCACTGATCAAACACATGATTTCCTTTGTTACAAGGAAGACTTTGGAACAGCAGCAAAACACAAGCCAGGAGATTTTAGACAACATTCCAGTTGAAAACTGCTCCAGAGAGTAACACTGTGCTACAGGGAGGAATTCCTTCCCCCCCAGGGCTTGGTTTGATAGCGACACCCAGAATTTCCATCACATCTCCGATGGCCTCGCGTTTGAGCCACACAGATCTTTTCAACTGCTTTGTCTCACTTTTATCATTTCAACATAAATAAAACTCTCCAGGCCATTTCTTAATAAAAAGGCTGAGCGGGAGAAAGCGCTGAGTGCTCCGATAGGGCCGGGGAAGGCGGTGGTGGAAACCATTCTGCAGGCCGAGCAGAGGCTTTGATGTGGCAGCTCCGTTCCACAACACCTTCTTCCCCCTCCAGGAACACATTAAAATGTTGGCTACTCCTGGGTCAAGGAACAGGAGGCAGCACGAGCTGCCAGCTGTGCAAACATCTCCTGAGCATTGGTAGAAGAGGGTGTTCCCCCTCGCCCATTTCTGCTTTATTTTACCCAGCCTGACACAATCCCTGCCACGGCACTCTCGGAGCTGCCCCAGAACTGCCTGTGCCTCCAGATCATGAACTGGTTCATACAGCATTGGGAACATCCAGTAAATGCACAGAAACACAACTGTCACAGGAATAACAGGGAAAAAAATGAGTTCTGACGTTTTGCCTACTTCAATTCTTCCCAAAATATACATTTTTCTAGGCACATACCCGGGCTAAGGACTAGAGGGTGCTATTTATTACTTCCAGCGCTTCAAAGGCTCTTCAAAAACACTTTTAAAACAGTGAAACAGTCCAATTCCTTTACATTAAATTCACTGCTGCTCCAAAACACAAAAAACCACGGCAAGGTCTAGGCACAAACTTCTTCAATTAAGTAATTTGTTACCTACAGCAAATGGAAGGGCACACAGACCCCGATTCCAAACCAGGAATCACAAAAGTTGACACAGATAAAATTCTATCAGCAGAATTGATCAGATCACTATTTCCACACCAGCCTGTGCTGAACTGTTCCATCTTTCCAAGTTATGGGTGATGATCCTGTCACTCAAATGATAACAATAATTATTATGATGCCACACCTTTCCTTTGGCTGATCATGGTAAGACCCTCCTAGCAAAGCTTTTTTCAACCACACTGGGTGAAAAGCAGTAATGGAGTCCAAGTGCCAATAACCAAGCAGCATCATGGAATCACAGAATTCCAGAAGGGTTTGAGCTTTAGAGGGCTTTAGAGCTCATCCAGTTCCTCCCCAGGGACACCACCTTCCACAGACCAGGGTGCTCCAAACCCCTGTCCAGCCTGGCCTGGGACGTGTAGCATGGACAGGGCAGCACCCTGAAAGGGAAGAAAAGCAAAATAAATCCAGAGGGCGGAGTTATTTAATTGTATATTGGGAAAAATCCCACCTGAACCTTTCCACTGGAAAGCTGAGGCACGATTTGATTTTGATCTTTGGAGTAATATTGTTAATATGTTGAGACCACAAAGGCAATGCTGTTCTCCTCAAGGGCCCTGAGGAAAGTTTGCTCAGATTAACAGATTTCAATACTAGAAGGACTTGACCATCTTCTCTTTCCAGGTCGTGCACAGAATGTCCCAGAAGCTCAAAGAAATGATTCTTTACCAAGCAACCCAATCTTGTCTTAAAAGACTTTGACCAACAATGGGCCCTCTATTTTTCTGCTGAGTTGTTCCAACATTTAGATCATTTTGTTTTTATGAAATCACTTCTTGGTGCGAGACAGAATTTGTACATATTCTGCTTTTTTGGCCTCTGTGTCTCTGTCAACAACACAGAAAAGCTCATTGCTTATCATTCAATTATCTTTTGTGTAAGCCACTAATAACCCAGAGCAATCCAGGCAATAACTAATGAAGTGAAAAGGACTTTTCAGCCTCAAGTTGTAAGGTTTGTTCCCCAGCCCTAGTACTTATTAAAAGTCCTCCTCTGAGCCCTCATCAGCGCTGCAATTCTCAACTTCTTTCTGAGGGTTGCCCACCAGAATGAAAACTTAAAAAGAGATCATAAATTCAACTATTCATTCCTTAAACACCACTGCAGAAGCTTTCAGTGGGACTTTCATTATCTAACAGGCTCTCTGCACCCCACCCTTGCACAACAAAAGCTTGAATTACTTACTCTGAAAGTCATTTTCTAATTCATGGTACTTAATAGATCCATTCCAAACCAGGAGACTTCTGAGAAAGTGCCACTTCCCCCAAAATGTGTGTGCACCAGAGAAATGCAAAGCAGCAGAGACGTTCTGAGTGCACCACAAATTGCAAAAAGCATGGAAACACTTATGCCTAAATAAGAAAAACCTGCACCAACCTTAGACACATGTTACTAAAATCTAATCCTTTGAATACAAGGCAGGGAATTATTTGATACAGCACTAAAATATTTGTGCTAAATACCAAGAGACACGAACTTCACCATTGCATCTCCCTCAAATCTGTTGATCAACTCTGTCAGCCCAGTAAAAAATGTTCCACTTCATCCCTCACTTCACCATTTCCATCGTCTCATGGGCACACAACAACAAGAGATTTGTGTACATATTGGTGTTACTGCAACAGGTACCACAAGGACAGCACCAGCAGTTCAAAGAGACAGTAAAAGGGGAATCCTTAAAGACATTAAAACACTCAGAAACCTCCACAATCACTCTTGTTCTGGCAGCTCCTCCCACTCCGGCATTCCCAGCACTCGTGTTCTCTGCCCGTAACATTCCCCACTCTCATCATCATCAGAAGAGACTCTGAGGGGGGTTTTTTGGGGGTTGTTATTGAATTCCCAGCTGCATGGAGCTGCTCACAGCCCCCCAGCAGCCCCTCCCCACCCGTGGGTCCCGCTGCATCCCGTGGCGTTCCCGGTGCTGGAGCGCAACACACAGCACAAGCTGCCTCTTCAGCTGCGGCCTTTGCAGGGAGACCAGAGCGTGACACACTTTCCACTTCAGTGAGACACACCACATGTTCCAAAGCAGAGCTGTCCCATCACATTTCCAGTGAGTTAATAGAGGCAGATCAGCGGCGTCCCCGGAGATTTGTTCCCCTACAAGGTTTACTTGACCGTGGCCATCAGCGAGGGGACGTACAGCTGGAGTTCCACTTGCAGATCACAGTCACCTCTTCTGGTATATTCTGGAGTAGATTTTGCTTGTGTGAAACCAAACAGTGCTTTTATATCCAACTTACAAACCTGCACTGGCTGCCCTTGATTGATCTACGAACGTACACAATGCTGGAGAAATTTCTGTAAATCTTCAAGGACAAGACTGCATTTATCATACCTCTATCAAAGGCCACCATTTCTATGACCAGCTGCATGATTTCCATGATTAAGCTACAACCTGGCAGATGTTTCCCCCCAAAACCACAAAACCAAGTAAATTTAAAGAGTTGCCTTGCCCTTCTCTAGTGTCAAATGCAGCAGAATTCACCACTGGAATTAATGCAATCAGTGAAGTAATTTGTACTGCAGTAACAGCCACAAAGACCTCCAACACCACCAAGATGGACCCAAATCAACAACGTAGCAATCTCTGCATCTCAACAGCCAGATGTCACAGCTCAATAGGAAAAGGTTGGAATTCTGGGGGCAAAACTCCGAGGGCAAACTGATGGTGAAACAGCTCAGCTCCAGCCAAACTCCACCATGCACATGTAGAACCCAAGCAGAGAACCCTGTGGAGCCACAGCCAGAGCCAGGTTTTATAAACTGCCAGTGTTTGTAACACTGCAAATCAACACCAAAGCTCTTCTGCTTTATTTTGAGGTTTTTTAACGGGCAGCATCTTCTGACCAGGAGACAGGACAGGTAATACAGATGGCAGCTGATTAACACAGCACACAGCCAATTAATTGTCTAATTTGAGGCGTGTTCCCCTGCAGCCCATGCACACTAAAAGGTCCCAGCCTGTCTGTGGGTGAACACTTCAATGATCAGCCCTGAAAGGGCTTTACCTGCCACTGTTAACACGGCAAAAGCACTCCCAGGGACCAAACACCCCATCCTGTTGCTTCTTGTAACAAATTTCTCTGGGTTTCAGCTTTGCTTTTCCCTGCCTGTGCTTCCCCCTGTGATTCACGGGGCTGACAGGCCTGCTGGCACCTCCTCCCCTGCCCTGCCATGCCATCAGCACCAACAAAGGCCACGCTAAGCCGGCGGCTCCACCGCGCCGTCCCAAGCCCCGCATCAACCGCTCCGGGGGCTCAGCACTAAGCACAGAACCCTTGTCCCAACCTGTTCTACCTCAAATGTGTTTGCCCTCGGTGTCCTTAACGGCCCAGGGAACTCCTGGGCTTGTGCAACACTTCATCACCTCCGAATTAAGCGGGCTCTGCCTCGGGTTGCATGGCAGGGATCATGAGAAGGCATCTGTCAGCTGCTGAGGGCTCTGCTAAACCCTCATTGTTTCGATGCTAGAATAGGGCTCAGGTTACCATTCTGGGGCAGCCTGAAACCAATCCCGTTTCCAAGAAATAATTAGAGGGTTTTAGGGGTGCGTAGGAACCGAAGCTGAGCAGAAATGAGCTCAGAGCCGATGGGCAAAGCACAAAAGTGCCGTGAACAACAAAGCTTCGAGGTTGTGGTGGCACCAGGCAGGTCCCATTTACCCCCAGTGCCCATTAATTACATGTTCTTC